GTTTCCTTATATGGTCGTGAGGTTCCTGAGCCTGCTCCTCTCCAGGGTTAGGGTCCTGTTTTCTTTGTTTCCTTATATGGTCGTGGGGAACCTGAGCCTGCTCCCCTCCAGGTACGACCCCGAGGAGCCGCTCTACCTGGGTTAGGGTCAGGGTTAGGGTTAGGATTAGGGTTAGTTAGTTCTACGGATTGTTTGGGAAGTCCTGTTTCCTTTGTTTCCTTATATGGTCGTGGGGAACCTGAGCCTGCTCCCCTCCAGGTGCGACCCCGAGCAGCCGCTCTACCTGGGTTAGGGTTAGGGTTATGGTAAGGGTTAAGGTCAGGGTATGGTAAGGGTCAGGGTTAGGTTTAGGGTTAGGGTTAGGGTTAGGTTTAGGGTTAGGATTAGTTAGTTCTATGGGGTGTTTGGGAACTCCTGTTTTCCTTGTTTCCTTATATGGTCGTGGGGAACCTGAGCCTCCTCCTCTCCAGGGTTAGGGTTAGGGTTAGGGTCAGGGTCAGGATTAGGGTTAGGGTCAGGGTCAGGATTAGGGTTAAAGTCAGGATTAGGGTTAGGGTCATGGTTATGGTTATGCTTATGGTTATGGTAAGGGTTATGGTTAGGGTTAGTTAGTTCTACGGGTTGTTTGGGAAGTCCTGTTTCCTTCGTTTCCTTATATGGTCGTGAGGTTCCTGTTCCTCCTCCCTTCCAGGTACGACCCCGAGCAGCCGCTCTACCTGAGCCTGCTCCTCTCCAGGGTTAGGTTTAGGGTCAGGGTTAGGGTTAGGTTTAGTTAGTTCTACGGGTTGTTTGGGAAGTCCTGTTTTCTTTGTTTCCTTATATGGTCGTGAGGTTCCTGTTCCTGCTCCCCTCCAGGTACGACCCCGAGGAGCCGCTCTACCTGGGTTAGGGTCAGGGTTAGGGTTAGGGTTAGGTTTAGTTAGTTCCATGGGTTGTTTACTTGTTTCCTTATATGGTCGTGAGGTTCCTGTTCCTGCTCCCCTCCAGGTACGACCCCGAGCAGCCGCTCTACCTGGGTTAAGGTTAGGTTTAGGATAAAAGTTAGGGTCAGTTAGTTCTATGGGGTGTTTTTTTTGTTTCCTTATATGGTCGTGAGGTTCCTGAGCCTGCTCCTATCCAGGGTTAGGGTCCTGTTTTGTTTGTTTCCTTATATGGTCGTGAGGAACCTGAGCCTGCTCCTTTCCAGGGTTATGGTCAGGGTCAGTTAGTTCTATGGGATGTTTCCTTTGTTTCCTTATATGGTCGTGAGGTTCCTGTTCCTCCTCCCCTCCAGGTACGACCCCGAGCAGCCGCTCTACCTGGGTTAGGGT